AGTGAGGAGGGGCCCACAAGGCGGCAGCTTATCTCATCAGCCCTCAGCTCATCTTATCTTAATTAGTTTTCCTTATCTTTAGAGTTTGATTTACCTATTAGAAGTAGGAATCTGTTTGATCTTAAAAGTGTGATTTATCCTTATCTGTGAGTAGTCGAATTTTACTGGGAGTCTTCCCACACCTCCTATAATCTCCTATTTTTAAGGAGCTACAAATTGAAAATAAAGCATTCAGTTTTCAGTCAAGAAAGAGTTTAGGAGAGTTAGGGTGATCTCTTGAACAAATCACCCTTAGTTCGCCAAGATAGGTTCGGCTAGGAAGGGGAGGAACAAGGGAAAACAAGAGCTTTTCCCCGTGGACCGACCCGTGACGAGATCCTACGCTCGGGCCCATAACATTATATTCTTAATTTTTTGATATTATAATTATAAAATAGATATTATTAAACTATAATATTCATTTTGTGTGTTGTTTATATACTAATTTCTTTTTATTATTTTCTTATTTGTTAGGGTTTAATCAACACAGAAATTGCTAAATGCTATATTGAACCCTCAAAGACTTCTTTTCTTCTTTTCCTATAACAAAAATAGGGGTTCAGCCCTTATATTTTTTGAATTTTTTTTTCGTTCTTCCCTTTCTTCTCATGAAAATGTTGATTTTCTATACTTTAACATGAAGTTTCTACTTTTCTTATGAAAATTATGGATAATTATTAAAGAAATATGGTTAGGGAACCTAGGGAACTACCCTATAGGGGTGCAAATGGATCGGATCATGATCCGATCCAAATCTGATCATATTTTGTCAGATTCGGATATACTCCTGTCAGATTTTCAGATCTGATTTTTTGAAACCGATTGAAAATCGGATCGCCCCTACCCAATATGTGTGTGTGTGTGTGATGAAAATGGTTAAAGAAAATACTTGTATTTTTTTCTTTATATAAACTATTATATTTTTAAAATTTTTAATAAATTAAATCAGATCGGATCATATTCGGATATCCGACATTATTAACAGATTTGAATTCGAATTCAATAGTAAGATATCAATGGCTGTAGGTAAATGGAGGAACATCAATTCTAATTGGAGTCTTGAAAAGGACAAAATTAATGAGAGTTTAGGTAGAAACATATGGAATTCTCTTGAAGACCTTAAAAATTGATAATCAATACATACTGGACCTAGTTCCACCAATATTCTCCGAAGCTCCTCTGCTCTAACCTGCAAGCAAAAGAAACAAAAAGTTATACATGTTTGTTGGTTCAAAACCATCTTATCTACCAGAATAAACATACAACAAGAATATGTTAAGAGTTTACCCAACCATATAAGCTTTGATATGAACCACCCTCTACACCTAGAAGAAAAACTTAATTTGAAGCAAGATTTAGCCTATTACACCCATGAAAGTCCTAAAAATAAGGCATCTATAATAAAGGAAGTGAAATCGAGACAAAAGGATGAGAGCAGCCATCAGAAAATCCTTCTTTTCCCTTCCTAACATAGACCCCAATAAAATGTAGAATGGACCAACTTCCATGAAATTGTTCCTTTACCATCTATAGTCTTTGATGGATGGAATGGTGAAATAGAACTTTTGTAACCAACCCAATGTAGTTGTGATAAGGCTACATTTAGTTGAGTTCATTAAAGTAGAAGGAATTGAAAATGGCCGGGGAACCATAGTTTAATGTTTTTATTTTTTTTCTTTTTTTAATTGCTCATTTTCTATCAGTCACCAAACAAATCATAAACCTACATTAATTTTGATTGGAAAAATGCATTCTATATTGATCTATGTTTGAAAGTTGGGGAGAAATGGTTTACAAAGTGTTTTCTTTTTTAGTATCTGCTTGAGTTCCACTCTTCTGTAGGAGATGGAATCACTAGATTCTTGTGCTGATGTTACTCTTCTCAAAGTTTTAGGGACAACCGGACAATGGCATGTGGAAAAAAAATGCTCCTTCCAAATGCAGTTTGTACTTAGGACCCAGTAATGGAACTGGAGTGAATTTGGTTCATAACACTTCTTCTGGAATAGATTTTAGTAACCCGGATAGGCTTTGGACAACAAAGTTATTAGATGTGAATAAAAAAGGAGCACCTTCAGTAGTTTGCATCAAGAATCAATTGGGCGAAGGTTGTTGATGACAGAGTCCAGGAAAGCCCAAACTTTCTGAGAAGATGCCTGGTTAGGAGACTAATTAAGGCTAAGAAAGACGTACCAAATGTTGAAACTAGTTAACTGAATCTCAACGCTTGCATAGATATTGCAGGTCCCATATTATTTACTCTTTTTTCTTCCTCTTTTCAATTACAACAAAATTACATTTTCAATGTCAGAAAGAAATCTGCTCCTTGTCAATTGTGATCACACCAAGTACTAACAGTGTAATTCCATAAACAAAACTGGACAGTCGGCTTTGGTACTAAAAACTCTAGGTTTTACTGTTCTAAAATAAAAATAAAAGAATAGTCTGAAATATTGCCCTAAGGGCCAAAATGAACCAAGCAGGGGAATTCCTGTCGACTTCAGCCAACCGCATCCATACCATAAACACCCTCGACAAAGAAAGATTAACCATGAACGCCAGTGGATGTAGCTCACCTTGAACATCTCATCTGATCGTTCCATCAAGTTATCGAGATACCGAAGCCCAAACCATCGCCCAAGAGTAGTACTAATCTGTATAAGACGACGCAGAAGAATAAACGGCTTCCTGCGATAAATTGAAGCAATCTTTGGTAGATTGTACTCTGTTAAAGAATCTGCCTCGGACGTGCCGAGTTCGAATATGTAACCGGAATACTTGGTAAATGTATCGACGTCCCGAGCAGCAGCTGAAACGCGCCGTTTGGAGCGCCGGAACTGATAAATCGCCGGAACCCGAAAAGATTTGCGACAGAAACTGCAAAGTCTAGTTGAAGAGAGAAGAAACTCAGAGCTATTAGATTTGGAATAGGCCCGGAGTGGGGGCGAAAATGGCGGGATAAGGAGTATCATTACTGAGAAAGCCTGGAATGATTTAAAAACCAGAGATGCAACGCAACAACTGTAATGGACGTCCGAACTCCAAACTTCAATTTTGTAATCTCTCTTCTTCTGTGATCAGGGAATGGTGGTGGGGAGGGGGATAACGAATGAAGGTCATTCCTTCACAAATACATGATGGTATAGAAACACGACGTACAGCCTAGGGAGTAAAAGGATAAAGATCCACTAGATTGGAATCTATTTTTCTCGAAGATAGACTGAATTTAGATCAAGCTGTATAGGCAGTGTCGTGGCCCTTGTAGACTTCGTGGGATTGGAATCGTTTATCTCGTGGGTAAACCATAAATGTACCAAACTTTCAAAGACGTCCTCGTCCAGGGGTCGTGTTAGTGCTAGTGGGCATTGTAAAGCTTGCTGTAGCCCGTAGGCCGTAGCTTCACAACCACAATTCTTAAATCTTAATTGGAAGAAAAGGAAAATAACGAAATTCTCAATATCATAATTTGGTCTTGCTCAAGGTCGCTGACTCTAATAAAACAGAGGATCAAGTTGAGTGTTTCAACTGTTCACGTCGAGACTCTAACTTGTGGATAAGAGAGGTGGTAATTCACAGCCAACAGAACTCTACTTTACATGATATATATATATATATGACTCATCTTCAAGTATGGGTAGTAATTTGGGCGGCCCAATTCAACCTTCAACTTACCCAGTTTACAATTTAATACAGGCTCGGTTTAAGGCCAAAAGGCCTAGATTTTTATTTTTTTGGACTGGACTTAGGCTTAAATTTTAGGTAGTTTAAGCCCAACCCAATTATATGCATACATGTATATTATATATATATATATATATATATATATATATTAGGACTGTCACAGGACTCCAGAAGTTTATGTCCAATATAATCAACTTTGAATCCAATGATATAAATCACATAAGTAGGGCAGTGAGATCGGCATGAGGCGCGATGTGTGAGGAGCAGATCCCAATTCGGGGAGAAGATGCTGATTCTGTCTCATCTGAATCTTGTTAGAGTTTGTGGGCAAAAAAGATCCAATCATTCAAGCTCATTTTGTGGGCATATGCGGAAATAGAAATTAGAAAATCTGCAAAAGCGAATTATGACGTGTGGTAGAGTTAGCACGTGCAGTTCACTCACTGGGATGGTGTTGTATCGTAAAAGTTTCCAATGAGGCGTTTTCTATAGGGAATCGAAACACCACGTTACATTTCAAAATGGCCAGTTTTGAGTGATACATACAAAGGTCTTTGGTTCTATTTATGTTTATTCAGTAAGCGTTTTGTATTCGTGTGACTGCAAAACCAAGAAACACATTTAATGAGGGTGTTTATGACATATAGGCACCACATCAGCAAAATGTCAATAAATGCCTACCCGTTTCAGGAAGCTCCAAAATGAAACTTCTTGAAACGGGAGAGGCGCATAGAAATGCAAACTTTGATACACACAAATGCAATTAATGAGGCATTTGTTAATGGGGCGCCTATGTGGTATCGTTAATAAACATAAATGAAACCAAACATATACATAGTATGTGTTTGGTTTCATGGGTGTTTATGGATAGGCCGTTATTTGTATTTTTCACTTTAAATGTTTCATGTTTTTGTTGTCTGGTTGGACTTTACTTTAAATATTTTTTTTACTCTTCACCTCAAATAAATACCCATTAAAATATGCCACATCAGCATTTGGTTTCAAAAAATGTTTGGGCATTGGGGGAAATAAGAATTTGACGTTTACCCAAATGCCCCATGCACAAAAATAAATGCACTTCAGTTTTCTACCATTTATTTGATAAATGGTGAAACCAAACAATTGTTTCATTTTGCTTCATCTACAATAAACACCAATGCCTATGTGGCACTGATGTGGCAGCATTTTTTCAATAAAAGCCCATGAAACCAAACACAATGATACTCTGTTGCTGCCACGTAGAAATAGCAGAGCCATGTCACTAACCCATTTGAAGAAACACATGGTTGATGCTTCGTGAGTTGTACACTTTGTAAGGAATTTTCATTTCTTATGGTTTTTCTCCTAAAATGTCCACCTAAACATGATTTTTTACCGTCAAACTCAAAACGCTTATATGGTGCCTATGTGTACTCAAAATAGCAGTAACACCACCCAACCATACTAAACCAGTATTTTCGAATCATCATTGATCTAAATGGTCAGATCATTTAGCATGGGAGCTGATCAGTCAACCGGTTCCATTTTACCTCAAACTTGGTCCTTGGCCAAAAACCATTGAATTGGTCAGCAATTTGTTGACTTGGGCAGTCAAATCATTGACCCATTTAACAGTTTTGGCTATTTTTTATTTTAATTATTTTTTTTAATTTTTTTATTTGAAACAGGCCATCCATTCAAACCAGACGATCAAACCATCAACCCAAAAACTGATGGCCAGAACAGTTCCAATTTCAAGTAGTCGTTTTTAAAACCTTATACCAAACAATGCCCGGGTCACTTTAACTTACATTCTCTACCCGTTGATTCTAAATCAATAGCACTCTGCCTCACCATTAAAAAAAATTAATTAGGCTAATTACTTAAATTATTCCTTAACTATCTAACAACTATTTAAAGACCGACTTAAAATACCTTTGAAGTTTCAAATATTCGAATTTCATAAAGTCTTGCCATATGCTACCAACAAAATTGTTATCTTCAAGTTGGAAAGTTGAGAATGAATTCTTCCAAAAAATAAATGGATTTGACCTTAGCCAAAGAATTCTTAGGGGGCGTTCTTTTTTTGGATTTTGAGAGGGGGGAAAGTTGGTCAATGGGATTTTGGTTCCCATTGACCAAGAATCCCATGTTCTTTTTTCAGCTTAATGTGGGGACCAGGGAAAGTTTATTTTCTTGCTCCTAGGTGGGTAAATTACTTTCCCAGCTGGGGGGAAATATTACAACACTTGAATGGGACAAAAATGCCCCATTTAATAATGGATTTTTATGGCTAAAATGGTCATTTCTTTTTTTTACTTGGGAAATAAAAGAACATGGGTAAATGCACTTACCTAGATAAGTGTTTCCCAAGAAAAACTTACCCAGGTAACTGCATTTACTCGAGTAAGTAACTTACCGAAAAGCGAACTAGACCTTTGAGTAAATAGACTTTCTCCTATCCAAAGTGGAATTTTAACCAACAATTTGTTGTTTCTGAGGTCCAACATCTCCAAGCTAGAGCAGTTTTGTAGGGATGAAAGGAGATCCCTGATGTCCCATAAAGCTTAGTTTGGGAAGAGTATAAATATAAATATGTATGGTGCAAAAACATGTAAAAAATTTGTATTTTTAAACCTAGTTTTGCATTGTACATATTTGTATTTGTACTCTTTCCAAACTGTTAAGGCTCAGTTTGTAAGGAGTTCAAATATAAATATGTACAGTGTAAATAATACAAAATAATAGAAAATACAAGGTTTTACACTATATATTTGCATTTGTACTCCATCCAAACAGAGCTTAAGGCTACGTTTGGAAATGATGCAAATGAAGTGTAAATCCCGGTTCAGGGTAAATTTGCACTCTGCTTCACTTTTGCCTATGTTTGGCAACATTACATTTATTCATTGACAAATGACAGACTAACGCATATTTACATTGATAATAAGATGTAAAAGTACATCAATAAAAAAGAAGTAAATTTGCATTCAAGTGGAATTTTGATAAAAAAAAAGCATATGCTTTATTGGAATTCATGTTTGCATCCATTACATCTAAAAGTCTATTTGGTAAGAAGGTAAATCCGTGCAAAACTAACCCAATTTTATAATTTATATGAACCGCTTTACACTCCACATATTTGCATTCACAATTATTTGCATCGTTTCCAAACACAGCCTAAGGTGCAAAGACTGAAGCTTTTGCAATTGGCCCTGTGATGAAGGGGATTGACCCACAAATGAATTTCTCTAAGGTCTAAAGGCATTTTAGATTAGAACAATTCCCTAAACTTGGAAGGAGGTTTCATGTTAAATTGTTTCCTGAATGACTAAGGATCTAGAAGCAACATGTTTCCTATAGAGGTTGGGATATTTCCTGTTAGAAGGTTATTTGAAAGAGAATGAAAAATTACGTTAGGAACTACAAAGCCAAAGTTTGGCAACTTTTAGTTCAAAGATACATTCAATACTACATTTGTATTATAGGAAACATCCCCAAACCAGTAGGGTATTAGACCGGAAATGCTAGCAATTGAGAAGAAATCTGTGAGTTGTTTTTGAGTTTCAAGCCAAGCTGGAAAATGAGGAGCTAATTGGCATAATCTCATATATAAGTCTCATAACCTGATCACTTGGAACTAACATTAAAAATGAAGGAATTGGAAGACAGTCTTCATTCAAAATGATAGGACCCAAGTTATTAATCATACTCCCAGTTTCTCCTTCATTTCAAATCATAACGAACTTGCTTCATTTGTGAGAACTAGCATCCATTCCTTCATTTGCTTCCATGGCATCCAAACAGAGAAAGAAGTGGACAGGAGAAATGTAAAGAAGCTTCAGTGTTTCCTTATTTTGGCCCTTTTTAGATTTCTGAAGATTAAAATGGAGACGAAACAGTCACAGCCCCTTGTATATTCATCAAACCTGAAGAGTTGAAGTGACGTGTGTTTTGCAATGTACAACACCAACCAGTGTTTGGAAAGAGTGCAAATCCCAGTTTCGTGCCTTCGTTCAATTTTGCTAGTTTTTGGTAATAATGGAATTGTATATTGACAATGACAAAAGAAAATACAATTTTCTAAAGCATGTTTACACCTAAAATAAGAGATAATTCTGCACCGGAAAAGGAAATAAACATTTGTATTTTAAAGTAATCAATGTTAAAAAGGTTCGATAATTCAATACGGAGATTCGTATTTGTGTCCATTACAACTAAAAATCCTTTTTCTAAAGAATAAAATTGTCAATGTAAAACTAAACTAACTTTACATTCTTATAGACCAAAAATGCACTTGCATATTTGTATTTACACTCTAGTTGCACTATTAATTTTAAACACAGCTTAATTAGGTTTCTAAAAACTTTTATTTTTGGACAAATTTCTTCTGTTTAGCTAATTCACAAACTCTATTCTTATTGTTTAATTATTGTCTTAAATCATTCGTACGTGATATATAATTTTTTTAAACCCAATATTATCTTCATCCCTCTAAGTCAAGTAATATTGTTGTCAAAAGGATATATTGTTGTAATTTTCAAATTTTCTTCTTTTTAATATACTCTTATAATTTTTTATATTTCATTCTGTTATATTATTAGATCCAATCCATTTTAATGGATTTGATTTATATTGGATTTAGACTGACTTGGATACAGTTCATTTGTAAGTGGATTCACATTGAACTAGATCAATCGAATTGGACCAAATCCAGTCCAATTGACACCTCTAATCAAGTCTAACGGAGGGCGATGAGTTGCATATAAACTCGTTGTTTACCAGCATTCCTCAACTGTGATTAAACGCCATTTAATTACTGCAAACAATATCAGATTTTATTGTTGCACTGATGCACCCGCGGTTGGAGAAGGTTTCTTGGCTCAGGATATAACATTCGAGAACACGGCGGTGGCCCTCCGGGTGGAGCCAGACAAATCAGCATTTCACTCATTTTTGGTAATGCAGCAGTCGTCTTCCAGAACTGTTCCATCCAACCTCGTCGACTACCCAGCCATGGCCAACAGAACATGATCACGGCCCAGGGCCGAGATGATCCAAACCAGAACACAGGGATCGTAATCCAGAAGTGAAGGATTACTCCGACTTTAGAGCTACTGGAGACCCAATACACTGTTACATGTCGAATCGTATCTTGGAAGACCATGGAAGGAATACTCGAGAACCGTCCATGCAATCGTTGATCACCGATTTCATCAATCCGGGAGCTGGATGGCACGAGTGGGACGGGGATTTCGCGCTTGACACATTGTACCACGCAGAGTACCAGAGAACACAAGAGATGGAGCAGATACATCAAACGAGTTCGGCTTCAGTCCAGTCACAGTTGATGCGCGCATCGTTCGCGTAGCATGAATACGCGCCACGCGTTCTTAAAACGTGTGCGTCATAAAATCGTGCGAAGTGAATTAAACGCCCTCCTCTCACCACTCTTCTCTCGCCTATATCGAATCGAACCCACGCTGCACGCTGGTTCTTGAACTCGCATACATGGATCGGGCCGCCACGTCTCTCTCTCCTCCGCAGTCGGGTCAAGGTTCTACCTTTTAACCGGTTAATAACCAGAGCAACCGATGACTGGCGGTAACTTTCGTCCGGATACTGGCTATGGTTCTTCTTCTTCTTTTTTAATCCTTGGTTTGGTCGTTACATCCCCTGAAAACTAATGTATTCTGTGTTTTTTTAATTGTTCCAGAACTGGTGGAACGGACAAGGTATCAGCCATTACAGGCGGTGGTGGCATTCTTAACCATTACTGGTGACGAAAAACAGCAGGTAAATCCGGTAATTCACTTCTCTCTTCATGCTATGTCTTATCGTTCAATATTCCATGGTCAGTTCCATTGTATTCTATTTTATTTTTTAAACAAATATTATATTTTCTTGCTTTGGCCTTAAATCTTAATGGCTTATTCTTATTAAATCAGTCCGAAAATATTCTGTTTTAAGATAAAAAAAGAATATTTTTTTATTCTTTTATTTGTTTGGCGTTTCAATGATAGAATTATATTCTATTTTATTCGTTATGAGAAATTGAGAATGTACATCCTGTGAGGGATATATTTGCAAACATGAAACAGAAGAACAGTAAATCCTTCACTCCATACCACCTTCTTCAAGGTAAACATTAAATAGTCATATAACATCAAAATCCATCAGCAAATTATATTTATTTTTGTTACATTTTAATTACAAATTACATGTGACCAGGTGCATAAACAATGTTCTTTATCAACTAGTTGCAATTCAATTAACCCTCTTAGCTCTTCTATTTACCTCAACTACGACCAACAACCCAACAGCAACAGCAGCTCAACCCTCCATGACAGCGAACCTAGCAGCTCAACCCTCCATGACAGCGAACCTCCTCCGGAGTTCTTTCTCATTCTCTTGGTTTCCCATTCTCTTGACTTCCCAGACCCATGAAACAAGACCGGAGTTCTTTCTCATTCTCTTGGTTTCCCATTCCCAGACCCATGAAACAAGACCAAATCATTAGTGAGACTGAAGACAATAAGAAGAGAGAAGGGAATTACCGGACTTACCTGCTATTCTTCATCATGCCATCACCGCACCCCTAATGGGGTCAATTGCATGAAAAATTGCACTTATACACTTGATTTAAAAATTAACTTTTCTTTTATAAAATTCAGTTTTAAACTTGTCCAAAAAATTATAAATTTTATTTTCAATATTTTAATAAGATCTAATTTACATTCCTTATAAATAATAGAAGAGATCAACAATTATTGATCGTTAATCATCGTTAATGAGATCAACGATTATTATTCAATCGGGTGTGAGAGTCATTATTCAATCGAGGCACAATTCAACTTAACATTCACTAAGTTGACTTTTTAAAATAATTTCTCTCAAAGATGAATCAACTTTAAAAACATATATTTTTAAAATTCACTTTTTTTCTTTATTCTCACCCCAAGACTATATTGTATCCTAAGAATAGATTTGCTTATAATCCAACAAATGGCGAATGCCCAATCCGGCTCAATCCATTGATGCGAGTTCGAGAATGGTGAGAATTCACCTCGCACGTTTTTATGACGCACACGTTTTAAGGACGCGTAGCGCGTATTCATGCTACGCGAACGATGCGCGCATCAACTTTCCTGGACTGAACATCAAACAGAGTAGATTGGAAAGGGTACAGCGTTATAACGAGTGGAAATTTTCATCCAACGTGATTTCTGGTTGGATTCCACTGGGTTTCCCTACTCTACGGGTCTATATCTTTGGTCATTTTGCCTCGTGTCTCCTGTTGGTCTTCTATCCGTCAAGGCTAACTATCTCTACCATCTGCTCATCATATCAAGTCCTCCGTGCATATGTATCGTCATTAATTTCTAGTATGAAAATTTAAATAAAGTTGCAATTGTTTTACTTCGAACCTCTGAAAGTAAAACAGGTTATGTTTTCATTACACGCATAGACGCATGGTAAAGAAACCAACAAAATACACGCACAGGACACAACTGGTGACTGGGGTAACTCTTTTAGTCGTTTATTTTAATCGAAGTACATAGCGCATACCGCATAGTAAGTGTATATATAAGAAACTACAAGAGCAGCTTAGGCTACGTCTATGGCCCTAACTTTCTTCTTCACTGGTTCCGTCTCCTTCTTGGGCACTGTTACAGTGAGCACTCCATCTTCCAACTTACACTTGATCTCAGCCATGTTGGCATTTTCCGGCAGCCTGAATCGCCTCATGAAGCTACCGCGTCGCCTCTCAACTCGGTGCCAAGTATCGCCCTTGTTCTCTTCTTCCTTGCTCCGCTCCCCGCATATCTCAATTATGTTGTTCTCTTCCACCTGGACCTTCAGCTCTTCCTTCCTCACCCCTGTCATCACCCCACAGCACAAGTGATGAGTTCCAAAGCCCGTCTAACTTGGTTAGGACAGACCTTAACCTAGAAGACACCAAAGCACAAAATCCTACCAACCATCCCACTGCCGTTACTTCATCATCAATTATTTCCATTTCATGCATTAATTAATTAGGATACACAGAGGAATTACTACTACTTGTGCTACTCAAATCTGTGCCTAGCTCGAAGCTGAGCACCGGTTCTAAAGGCCGGGAACTATGCAAGAAGAGGAGAGAGGAGATAAGGATAAAGCCATAAAGGCTAACTGAAACTGACCGGGAAGATCAGCACGGAAGATATGAGCATTGTCGGTCTCGCGCCAATCAACGTTAGTCTGGGCGAGAACGGAAGTATCATCGTCACGGTCACCTTTGCCCCAGCCGGAGGACCCCAAGTCGAAAGGGTTCCGTATATCGCCAAAGAAGCCATTGTCGAACCCTCCACGACGCCCACCGAGCCATGGTCCCAACGTAGTCATTGTCGTTCAATATTGAATATGAACTCCGGCGCCACTGCAACTTATCGCATCTTACGCACTGAACAAGTGCCCCGGCCCCTTTTATGAGCAACCCGAATGCCTCCTGGCTTGCCATGTTGCTAGCTTCACGTGCCCGTCAGCATGGCGACCGACTAGCATGCGGGAGAAGATTTGTACACGTCTTCGTTTCAACTCTCATAGCGGTGCCACATCACAGAGGTAGAAGTTAAGTTAAAATTATAAACAAAACAAAGGTCTAGGTTGAGGAAGATTTCGAACATTTCAAAGCCGGTAAATAACATGAAACCCTGGAACTACTCTGATCATGTACCTGAAGCCTTGTTTAAGAATTAACACCTGTTGTATTTGTTCAGATTTCGGTATATTTTGATGAGCTTACATAATACTAATCGGACCTGTGCGATGCAACAAACAAAGCTGCCTAAAGGAGATATCTAATTGGGTTCGGTCAGTCCAAGTCCGGATGAGTTTTGTTATTTTTTAATTTAAAATTAAGTAAATCTAAAAATTAGTTTTGTTTTTATTAACTTTACTTTCATATTTAAATGAAACTTATTTTAATAAATAAAGAAAATTTAAATTTAAGGAAGTTATAATTATATATCATTGCATGTGTGTCAATTTATTTCCATTGCATGAGACTCCATAATACTCCAAAGTCTAAACTCATTAAAAGCCAAAGAGCTACAAAAGTTGTACAAAGAGAAATTTTTGTAGTTTTAGTCCTCAAACCCCATTGGGTCATTATAGTACGCCACACTCATTATCGTACACCACTTTCATTATATTCTAAGAATGGTGAATTTAAAGTAAATTCAGCGTATCACTCTCTTATAACAACCACAATTCCAATTCACACAAATATAACAAGATAGTCTAGAGTTTGGGATATTCGATACTCATATAGTTATAAAATCTTTATCTAGAAATGTTAGATAGTTTTGTATGTCCTTAGCTTTAATCAGAATGATGTACTTTATGAGTTTATTGTAAATGAATAAAAGTGCATATTTGATTCATGTTCCATTAGTATGTTTCTGTGCAATATCCTTAAATTGGACACTTAATGAGACTCGTGTTAGTTTAGAATGTTCACAACCAGTGGGTCGGTCTGGGGAGACCTATCTTGACAAGGCTGACACTGTAGTGCCATCAAGTCGGTTGGGGTGGCCTGTCTCAGCTGCCAGGGTGAGACCCTAGGCACATACAATATATGATTAATTGAATCTATGAACTGAACCAGATTTCCAGTATTGCCCTGGACCTTGGAGATTGATAGGCAAAACTGGAAAGTTACACCCGACCCCTACACTCAATTATGATACTGCACTAGGTGTCGGATTGGGCTGTCTTTGATGTACCAATCAGTGATATCCTTAGCGGGAGTCAAAATCTGGGTATGTTGGGACAGTTCGAGAATTCATCTGAGTGGGTGATCATAATGACAGGATCAGCCCCTTTGTCAGACAAACGTAATGATCGGGGATGCACTCTCACTGATGGAAACCAAGACTGCCGGCAGCCGATTT